CTTGCAACATTGCATAAAATAATAGAAGTTTATTCTAAAATAACTTTATAATAACACAAAAGGTTGAAAATAGAAGTTGCAATATAAAATACAAAAGATTTACATATACTATAAAAATCATAAAAGCAACAAGAAAAATCACAATTTTCAATTGAAATTTAATAAAAAAAAATTACAAATGAAATGTTTTATGCTGCAATGCTTTTAAATATATTAGTGAATATATAAAAAGAATAGTTTTCTCGAAATGTTTCGGAATAAATTCGGAAGAACTAACTACGTTTTAAATCACAAAATATACACCTTTAACAATGTTCTTTTTTTTTAAATATTACCGTCGTAATTTAACACGATTTCAGATAAATTCACCAACAATTTGCAAAAGAAAAAAAAATAGTAAATGATATCTAGAGTATGACATATTGTATATTGGTATCACCATTTGTAATTTTACAATGTGTTAAAAAAAGATTAAAAGTATGAATTTAGCGTACAAACTAAAAAAAAATAAAACAAAATTTAAAATTAAAGAATTTAAAATTATAGACATAATTGAATGTTAGATCAAATATATCAGGTTTTTTTGTAATACATTTTAAAAAAATTTTAAAGAATTCTTGCAAAAATTTGTAACAAAAAATTACAAAAAAAGTATTACGAGGAAAAATGTTGAATTCGACATCAATTTCGAAAATACACTGTGGTCTGTCCTTCTGTGTTGTGTTATCACTTAGTTTGTCTTCGTCTGTCGTTGTATGCCGTGGTATGTCCTTCTTTTCTATACGATAATGTGACGTGTTCAATCTTATCGTATTGTACAATGAATTATGCCGTGGTGTGTCTTTCACTCTATCGCTCGTTGCCTATATGCCTATCGTCTCTAGTGGGACAAATCACTCGATATCGACTTGCCTATAAATAGACCGAGATTTTTCATAATGAATTCATTCGAAAATAAACACCACAGCGATAACATCAATTCAACTTCTGCAATAACAACAGCTCTTACTTCCAATTATTTCATTAAGGTTAGTTATCGTTTCTTTTTATGGATTTCACCTTTTTAAATTTCGTATGTATATATATACATGTATGCATACATTGTTTCCTTATATTATGATACAATGTTGGATGCATATATTTATATTAGAAATTTAAATATAGTTATACTCATTATATGTGTGCTATTTTTTACAGTAGAGTTTTGTTCATTTTTTTTGTACATATTTTTATCATCCCATTTATTTCTAGATACACTCTGAAAACAGTATGGATATTGATAAAGAAAAAAATGCAATCAACAATTCAACATCAACTGTAAATAAAGAAGTAAGATAATAGAAACATTTTTTATTGTAGAAAAAAAAAGTATTTCTTTTTTTTAGATGCAGCAACGACAACAAGAATATGCAATGCTTGCAAGTGACCATCAGCAACGTGTTTCAGCAATAATGGAATACCAATATGGGGCACATTCTCATTATTTTAGACTTGAACAATTACATCAACCACTACAAGGAACACAGTTATTTGGAGAACTAGAAGAAGAATTATGGAATGAATTAGAAAAACTCAAGCAAAATGAAGAGCAACAAAGAAAGAAGAAAAAAGAATGGGAAGAACTTTGTTTACAATCATTCGAATCTTATGATGAATTCAACAAAGATGATATGGAACATCGAAGACAAAACACACCTGTGGAAAATATGGAAGATGAAGAACAATGTAATGTGGAGCCATCTACCATTCAACCAGTGGAAAAAATAAAAGAAGATGGCACTGTTGAATCACCTGGTTTGGTTAAAGCATTTCAACGTTTCGGTGTATATGATGGTCGCAATTATTCTACTCAATAAACGCTAAGTAAAACAATGACTTTTTGTTAAAATTGAATAGTATAAAAAAAACTTATGTTATGTCCATTGTAATAGTTTTTTTTTATGTATATGTTTCTAGTTATACTTTGGATTACTGAAGTTATTTTTTTTTGTAGTTTTTTTGTTTCATGATCATTTCTTTAATGAACTCATTTTTTTTTCTCATTCTAGATAAAAATATTTAAAATGAATGGGAAATCAACTACGAATTTAGACACGTTGGAAACTCCTCGTCAAGATGCACAAGGTCGATGGCACGAATTATTATCACCAACACAAGTGCTAACAGGACAACAACAACAACAATCACGTATGGGTGAACAACTTACAAAAAAGAAAAAAAAATGTCGTGGTAATAGAAAAGCACAACGTCAACGTCGACGACTTCGTCGAAAAGGTTTATATTCAGAAACAGTAACTAGAAATGGTGATCACGAACTTAATGTTCAACATTTGGAACAACACGATCAAATATTTGAAGAAGATACATCAGACAAAATACAAGTGAATGTAACATCCGATCAAGTAATTTTTTAGTTTTAATCTTTTTTTTTCTAAATGTTTATCTGCTGATTTAGGTTTCTGCATCGACACAAAGTAAAATTCATCAAAATGATAGTAAAATGAAAAAATCAAACAAACGCAAAAAAAGAGATATATCATCACAACCACCATCGAATACAATTCATGAATCTTTAAGTCAATTAACAATTTCTCCACCATCAGCAAAAAAGCAAAAAATGATAAATAATGAAGTTCAACAAATTACTACAAATGGAAACTCAGAAAAAACACGTTCAAAATGTAAAAAACAAAATAATCATAATTATAATGACTCTTCTTATATACCTGATTATTTACAAGTGTCAAATCGTATATTTAAAAAAATGTTAATTAGTTCATTAGACGATGCTAAAAATATTGTTAGAAGATTAAACTCAAAAGAAAAAATAAATTATATTCGTCAATATACTTGCTTAATACATCGTCTTTTTTATGGACAATTACAAGAAAGTCAATGGAAATATTATTATGATATTGGTATACAACAAAATATTTGGTCAGGACGTGTATCAAAAAAATGGGCGGCGATGAACAGTATGAATTATACTTATGGCCGATCGAAAACATTAATTTTACAACGTCTCAAAACTATCCAACGACAACTTCAACAAGCATCACAAGCATTACAAAACTTTGGTAATCAACCATTACCTCAATGTATATCAGAATTGAATCCTCCATTGGATTTTACAAAACTGAACGCAATTGTTACTGCTGTTGTACGTAAAGGGCAACATAAATTAAAACAACAATTTGAACATAATAAAAAAATGTTAATGTTAGACTCAACAGATCACCGATTAGTACAAAATGTTTACGATTTAAAACCAAGTCAACAACAACTTCGTTCAATTCGTAATATATGGAAAGCAATTTATAATAAAAAACAAATGGAAGAACAAATTGAAATATTAAAACATCGTATCCATTCCAATTGTTTACCACCAGCATTTAATCTTCTTGATTATTCACTAGATAGAATTGATAAAATACTTAGTCGATCCAAACAAGATTATATGCACAATAATGATAACAAACAACAAACAATATTAAATGCCCGTCGTTTAAAAAAAGTTGGTCGATTTAAATATGATATGCTTGAATTAATTATAGCCGCTGGTGAAGAAAAAGTACGATATTATGATAAAATACTGAAAAAAGAAAAAAAGAAATTAATAATGATTACAGATAAATTAAAGAAACAGGATTCCAATTCTGATGCATTCAAACAAATAATGGTAGCTATAGAAGGACGTCAACGACATATGATTGAACGTGCTGATTATATTACACAACAAAAATTAAAATCTTTTTTCGACGAAGCTCCGGCGTCACAAGACAATCCAATCAACCAAGATGGCGTCGGAGCAAATCAAAATTAAATCTTCGAAATCAGGCAAATATGTTTCTCTCTTTATATTTTGTAAATACTGTTATACCATTATCAACTACAGAATTGCTCATAATTAATAAAGGTTTAAAATTTATACCACCTTGCCAAAGTCGATTCTTTTCCAGGGAACCTATGAAAACAATTATTGATCAAGAATACAACCGGTTATATGATGAAAATTGTAAGAATCTTAGTGATTATACATTTTCAACAAAGGATACACGTGCTATTGAATATTTCACTGAAATAAAAAATTTACTTGAACAATTATATACGAAACCATTGCCAACAAAACTTAAACGTCATGCAGAACATATCTACAAGATGATAAAGTCAATGCAGCGAAAATTACAAAAAGCTAATATTGCCGTTGGTCAAACTGATAAAAGTAAATTATTTTTTTTTATTGATGCACAAGAATATGAAGAAAAAGTTAAGAATTACATGAATAAAACGAATGCATATCAAGAAATCACGAGTGGTATTTGCCCACTAGCTGATAATTTACATTTGGTAATATTATTACTTGATCATTTACTTGAACGGAAGGATATTACCAATGAACAATATAAAAAAATGTATCCTAACTTAAAAAAATTAGAATTGGCTCACATTTATTTCAATCTTAAAGTTCATAAGGTCAAACAATTGCTTTCATTAGTCATAATTTAATTTTTTTTTGTAGCCTGATATATCAGTTCGGCCTATTGTTGCTTCCATCAATGCACCAGCAAGACAAATATCAAGCTTTTTAGATCAACTGCTTACTCCAATTTATAATTATGTGACAAAAGATATAACATTTATTAACAGTATCGATTTGATTCGAAAATTAAAAGAATATGAACAAAAAGGTTATCTCACTTCAACAACGTTACTTGTTATATTTGATGTGACCGATTTATATACAATGATACCACGAGATGGTGCTATTGCTGCTTTAAGACGATTTTGTCAAAAATATTCAGCAAATGGAAAAATAGGAAATCTCAAAGTGGAAACAATTATTAAATTAGCATGTGTTGTTTTAGATACCAATACATTTGCATATAAAGATAAGTATTATCGACAAATTAAAGGTGGTGCTATGGGTTCACCATTTACTATGGCTTTAGCCAATATTTATATGTTAGAATGGGAACAAAAATTACTACAACATCAAAATAGACATCATGAAATCTATGGCCGGTAAGTTTCAACTAATTATTTCTAGACTCTTTTATATTGATACTGTATTAATATTTTGTAGATATATTGATGATGTATTTATGACTACGAATTTAACAAAAGAAGAAATTTTAGAACAACTTAATGAAACAATAAAAACAGATCCAAACATTAAAATTACTATCACAATAAATCAAGCATTAGAATATCTTGATGCCACTGTTGAAAATAATAATGGACAGTTAAAAACAACTATTTATCATAAAACAGCTTGGGAACCTCATATTCTACCTTATGAATCTGATCATCCACGACATATGCATGCTAATATAATTTATACAATGTTAGTTCGAGCTGCACTTAATCGTTCCATATCAAAATGTTCTACAGTTGAACAGATA